CAAATTTTGAGACTGAAATGAAATTATTGCTTTATTTCTATTCAGCAGATATTTCTCTGAACATCTGTTTACATACACGCGTAAAACATATTGACATGGATGTATGAAACGCTCACATGAATGCACACACATAATTACGGAAATAATAAATTGTTTTATACACATAATCATTCTGATCAACTATGAAGATATTAACTGGTGCGTCGCTACGTAGAAAAAATACGATTCATAAATTCCTATTGAGTAAATAAACCTCTGTTCATGGAATTATCATTTCTGGGGCACTCAGACTCATTAATTATAACGCGCCTTATTTACAAATGCAAGTCAATACGTTGGGATGTTCGTATCGGAAGTTTAAATGCGCTTTGACGCAAAATATGAAGTTAAAGAAAATACATAAACTGCAGTTAAAGAAAATACATAACGTATAAAACACAATACATCAAAATTTAAATACCTAATGACAATGATTAATATCTCTGTGCAAATCTGTTTTGACCCGAAGTATCAAAATCTTCATTTAATTTTCCAATTAAATTAAACGAACACTTTAATAAAGTTGTCACATCAGGCAAAACAGAAAAATTAACGTGTCAACGATAAGTAATTTCAAAAGTATCTTTAAAAAAGAATTTAATATCGACAACAATTTTCTCTTTGATCTTCATTCGGTTCTATGATTAAGGAAGTCTTATCAAAAAAATAGATTCAACGCTCTGAAATCTTTTGATTACTTTTCTGTTACTACCATTTAGCGACGCAACACGAAACACCATAAAGTGTCAACGGCAATACGATAAATATCATTTAAATTCGACAGCTCCCAAAAAAGCAAAGATATCGTCGAGAAACACGAAGCATTATCAATACGGTTCAGTTTTAAGGAATCCCAGAACGATTTGCATAATCCAACGCCATCGAAACGATCCGAACCGTCATCGAAAACATGTGAAACAAAGCGACTACTATATTCTTCGGCGGATTTCAACAGCCTTACGTTAACATCGCGATCTACTTTTAACGTATTTACGTCTCCGGGCTTGTTCTCTGAAGTTGATCGTCCCGTTTCAAGAAAACCGAAACGCGCGGCCATTCTCCGGAAAAAGAGTCATTTCATGAATACGGCAAACCTCGTAGGAGATGCATAGGAAGGCAATGAATACGGGGGCGATAATAGGTACACATAGCGAGACTCGTTGTCGGGGAGCGCTGACCGCAGAGATAACGCTTTGACCCGTTACAAGCTTCAAGCACGAAGTGAATGCCTGCACTGTCTCTGCCAAGCCTGGTCACAATCCAAATACGTAGCCCTTTTTCTTACCAATTCACCCTTTACGCGCCATCCACCCCGCTCCTGCGAATTTCGCCTCCTCCACCTCAGCTGCGAGCTGCGAGCGCGGTCTTCCCGCTCTGATCTTATTTTCAAATGTTAATTACACCGGATCCCATTAATAGTCTCTCCCGTTAACAGGGAACTCTTTAAAAGGACATTACTCTTTCAAAATTCGACCGGGCGTCACGGTGCCTACAGCACATGGACCTGAGCGCATTTGAAGTGACATTATTTGAAATGATATTATATAAAATATTATTAGAAATAACATTGTTTGACATATTATTTGAAATAACACATTATTTTATTTCATAATTATTTCGACGCCTACAACCACTTCTGAAATAACGTTGTTTGAAATATTATTGAAAACAACACGTTATTTTATTTCATAACTATTTCCATGTCTCTACAACCACTTCTGAAATAACATTATTTGAAGTAATATTCGAAATAACACGTTATTCTATTTCATAATTATTTTCATACCTGTGAAACTGTGAACATTACTGAAATAACATTATTTAGGATATCATATAATTTATCTTATATATATATCTATATGGCAAAATCATATAATTTATTATATCAAAAGATTCCTATATTCAGACATATAAGAAATGTTTTTAGGGGACGAGTGTAATAAATTCATGTATTGTCG